AATAAGTCGTTCCTATTGGTGTCATAGAGCGTAGCAATAAGTCGTTCCTTTTGGTGTCATACAGCGTAGCAATAAGTCGTTCCTATTGGTGTCATACAGCGTAGCAATAAGTCGTTCCTATTAGTGTCATACAGCGTAGCAATAAGTCGTTCCTATTGGTGTCATACAGCGTAGCAATAAGTCGTTCCTATTGGTGTCATACAGTGTAGCAATAAGTCGTTCCTATTGGTGTCATACAGCGTAACAATAAGTTGTTCCTATTGGTGTCATACAGCGAAGCAATAAGTCGTTCCTATTAGTGTCATACAGCGTAGCAATAAGTCGTTCCTATTGATGTCATACAGCGTAGCAATAAGTCGTTCCTATTGATGTCATACAACGAAGTAATAAGTCGTTCCTTTTGGTGTCATACAGCGAAGCAATAAGTCGTTCCTATTGGTGTCATACAGCATAGCAATAAGTCGTTCGTATTGGTGTCATACAGCGTAGCAATAAGTCGTTCCTATTGGTCTTCTTGTCAATTCAGCATCATACGGAAATGCACGTCCGCCAAGAGAGGCGCTATTTGTTCCTGGTGTTTTTTTACCTTCCTGCCTGTGCTTCAAAACATCATTTTGTAGTCATTTACTGTGACACTGTTCGTCTGTCTTGGAAAAAAAGTCTTCTTATAGGAGAACGAATGTATTTTCAGCTTCATATAAGGTATATTAGTGTAAACAGAAAACGGCTCAAACGTTTTCGAGGAAACTTTGATCAAGATTGATCTAATCCTTTAAAGTTTTTATTTCAAAATAATTTTCCACTTAAGAAGTATATTGTGTCTTTTGATGAGTAAATAAAGGCATTGGTAGGGTAGTAAGTATAGGGTTACTGGTAGTGTAGTTAGTGTTGGTNGTGTGCGCACGCCATTTTCGGTGCGTTGTGCGGTCCCACAACTGTAGTTTAGTAAGTATAGGGTTATTGGTAGTGTAGTAAGTATAGGGTTATTGGTAGGGTAGTACGTAGAGGGTTACTGGTAGTGTAGTTAGTGTAGGTTATTGGTGTCACGTTCGCTGTGTAAGTTTGTCATGTTTTGTGTATGTTTTGTGTATATGTGTGTACACATATGGTAGAGAATTCATTTTAGAAACAGATCACCAGCCACTCACGTATCTGCATCGTTCAAAGACACCAAACGCTCGACTCATGCGATGGGCTTTGCTACTTCAACCCTACAGATTCAAGATTCGGGCGATCAGAGGTGTGGACAATGTTGGTGCTGATTATCTCAGCAGGATTTAAACTTCCAAGCTACGTGATTGTTCAAAAAGTGCAAGCACTTTTTTCCGGAACGGGGGGATTATGTCACGTTCGCTTTGTAATGTTGTCATGTTTTGTGTATGTTTTGTGTATATGTGTGTCGCGACTAGGCCACCGTAGAGGAGACCGACGGGACGGTGAGTAGGGGTCAGCCATGTGCGACACCGAGAGAATGTGTTTTGGATAATTAATCCATTGTAACCGTCCGAAAGCCCATAAACGTGGGTAAGGCACAGAAACAGACTGTTTTAAGTACTATGCATAACTATATTTCCAATGTTTAACTATTATTTCGCCCATTGTACGATAAATATTATGGTCAGTTGTTCGGGTGGACGTGCGGATCACTGATGCGTGAAATTGTTGTTGTGTGTTTATAAAGTTGTTGAATGTATTTGTAGTGAAATATTCCTATATATGTTGGCTATAACTATCTTTGAGACTATTCTAATATGTATTTATATTGTATGTATCGTATATTCAAAGTAGGTAAATATAGGTATATTCATGTTTGCGTAGGAAAGTGTGAAAAAAGTATGGAAGCTCATGCGGACCATAACTATAGGTGTTGTTACACTTCTTGTAATTTTAGATTTTGCTACGTTATGGTAATTATCGATGTTGAAAGCAGATTATAAATGATAATTATTATGAGTAGAACTATACTTGGTTATGCTATTTGTATTTAATTACAATTATCTAAGGTTGTGTGTGTTAGTGACAAATGTATTTTGTTATAGTTACATGTAGGAATGTTAGGACTTACAACTGTCACCTTTATTTGGCAGCAAACCATGTCGGGATAGCAGGAACAAACCTCAGACCGAAGAAGCACTATAAGTGTCTCTCATATATATTTTTGAAACTTGTGTGGACATTCGTCATATATATTTGGAATCCTGTGTGGAAGGTTGCTGTAGTACAACCGAGTCCTTCCTGGAGTGGTGACAGATACTGTAGTTACCTTGTGTAATTATTTCTAGTATTTTGTATGCGAGGAGTGTGTTAGAGAGTGAGCTTTGTAAATATCGTCATGATCGTATATTGTCATTATTGTGGTAATTGTACATTATATTTAATTAATTTTGAATATCGATGTTTGTTATTTGTGGTACGATTAATTCCGCTGTTCGTCCTGCGTTACAAAATTGGTGGCAGCGGTGGGATGAGCGACGTTTGGTTATTCGTACTTTGAATATGCTAGGCAATAGGATAGAGTTTGAGATATTTTTCGTGCTTGGGCATCCTGTTCCTTTTTCCCATTTCTATAAGTGTCAGTTTAATTCCGGGAAATGCATTGGTAAGTAAAGTCTATAGAATCAAGACAGGTGAAATGCATTGCTAAGTTAAACTTACAGGATCAAGACCGATAGAGCATCTGCAACAGATTGGTGAGTATTGAAACCTATTGTTGCGTCATTTTTGTCTGTAGTATAAGTGTTGTACTTTCCAGCGTTAGGTTTATTCATATCCGGAAACATGCCTTCCTTAGAG